AACTTCAAACTTTCACGTTATTATTGGAACTATATATCTTTACATAATAGCGTCCATCTGCAGTTTCGCTTTGTACTGGCTCGAGTCGATTCTTGACAACATTTTCTGAAGTGCAAGTGGCTATAATATGTGTACTGAATAAAATGTGGGAAGTATTTGACACTTGCAAGAGCATATAGGCATATCGCAAGCAACAATGTACGTCTCTACATTATAGCGCCAGCATTATACAACTCTTGCCACAAGGCGGGGCTGTCCCTTGCTGACGCGGAAACTGAACCAGTGAGCATGCGCATGACGTCGGCGCGCACACAGGTTGCGCTAGCTGAGCCGTGGCAGGGGAGTGGCGTTGCAGTCATAATTGCACTATGGAAGTAACATTAGTGGGCTCTTCAGTCTGGTCAATTGCAAGATCTATAGATATGGGCTGTTCTACACTACATGCAACGCGTATGGTCCAGGAGTCTGATCCCGGCTCAGGCCTGCTCACACCATTCGATCCCTTCAGCCCTTCGAGGTCAATTAATTGGCAACATTTTTATGTGGGAGGATGAAAATAGACATGTACCGGCTGGCCACATGAGCTATTGTGAAGGTAAATCGCTTTGAAACATGCCACGATCCCGAGTGCTAGTATTGCAGGAGGGAGATGGTGATGCTTCTCGGGACCTCCAATTTGCTGCTGCCATCATCTGAGATAGCGATAACACCAGCGAAATAACGAATCTGCAGTCTGTAAGACGGAAAGGAGCGGTTGGTTCAGGACGTACGAGATAATCAGATCACTTGATGTGTGTGATGGATGAAATGTTCGAGTTGACACTATCTCGGTGAGAGAGCACAGATGGCAGGAATTAGGCGCTGCCTATTCCTCTTTCCCCACAAGGGGTGAGTTCAGCACTCCCATGCCAGGATAGTGTAGAAATCCCTCTAGATATTAAATTATTCAGGGACGTCAGGGTTTTTTTTAGCATTGGGATGGTATCAGCTGGGTGCTCAGCGACACGCAATTGCAGAGAAAGATAGGCTTCCAACTGCTTGATAGGGCCATTTCCGCGTCGCTCGCGCAGCGGCACGCCCAGCCCCTCGCTGTCTGACTCTAGCCTTTCAGCAGAGAGAGCGTTAGGCCGGTATCAGACTTTGCGAATCCGGCGACTGATGAGGCCTTTCGCTAGCAACCCGAGGTGCGGACGAGCGGTCTGACGACAAAGATTTGCTGCGTGCAGCGTTCGATGCCTGGCGCATCGCTCGCACCCTCGAATTGCAGCGAATCCGTCCGATGCGAGTTGCATCAATGCGGAAAGCGGTGGGCAAAGAAGGGTACCATTTTCCCAATTCTGAACCGTTTCTCGTGATTTTTTCTTGATCCCTGCACCATTGAACACCTCTACCTTGATTTCTCCGGTTTCCTTTTCCATTTCGTGAACTACGCCCTCAAAATAGCTGCGCATCGGAAAAAATGAAGCCATTAACGCGTGTGTGTGTGTGAACAAGAATGATCTCGTAATCATCCGTTTCAATTTGAGCATCATGAGTCAAGTCATTTCTTACATTCCAGTACGATGGCCGGTGGCGAGCCGAAGTTCGTGCCATACACTCTCAGCCAGCTTCGGAACGGTGACGGTAAGTTTTCAATGAGGTGACACTTATGTCGTAGATAAGTTCGAACATGTAGTCTTATTCGAATTAAAGATGGATGGCTGTCTTATGTAGTCCAGCTTAGTGAGCATCCTCTAGAACCAAGCCTAGAAGGGAGCAGGGATTATGGGGGAAACCGCTCCGCTGCCCGGAGAGTCTCTCCTTCCCTACGCCTTAAGTTTGGTCCAGTTTTTGAGAAAAAGGTATTTTATGCGGTTTTCGGGCTATTTTATCACTACCAAAAAGTTTTGAGAGTCGTTATATGTACCGGATGGCAAGCTGGGCGCTTAAGGGCCGGGGTGGGGGGAGAGGGGAGGACATGCGCACATTTCAAATTAGGGCATTTGCAGAGCGTTGTTAAGGAGCCCCCAGAACAAAGCCCGGGAAAAGGGAAAACCTCCAGGGAAAACTCAGTTTCCCACCGTCTCCCTGCAAACCCCCCGCCATTCCCTAAGGCTATTGTTAGTCTCAAGTTCTCTGGTGGCTCGATCACTTCCATGTCCCCCCCTCAAAGACATGAGGGCCAGCCATAGAAAACTGAACGTTACCATACTATCCGTCAGTCTAGATCTCTTACCAAGCCATAGCCCACATTTTCGGCCACAAAACAGAGTATCGATGCGCCGTTGTTCTTAAGGCGCCCAAACAGTGAGATGGCCAACCGACGGCCGGTCAGCTAACTACGGTGCTGGCCAAAAAATAGCGTACTTTTACTGAATATTTCAGTACCAAAGGACCGACCTATTCATATTTTTACGGAGGCGTATTCGACATGTTCCACTACGGTCACGTCCGGCAATTACGGCAAGTGAAAGAAGCATTCCCCGGTGTCATAGTGACCGCTGGAAGTAAGTCGAGTCGTACTTGATACGAGAACACGATAGAGTGAATAATAAAATACACAAATCCAGTTTAAGTATGCAGCGACGAACTGGTACGTAAGTATAAGGGAGGTCCACTGGTGATGTCATTCGATGAACGCTTCGCTTCCGTGGCCGAATGTAAATATGTGGACAACGTCATTGATCACGGGATGTTTTATCCGACTGTTAAGCTACTCGATGAGCTACAGGTGCAATTTTCGTTACCATTTCTCATTTTAATTAATCGTAGAACCTGTTCCATCATTCCTAAGGGGGGGGGGGAGAATGGACCTTGGACGAACGGCGGGACATTAGTTTTGCTTCAGTGAGAAAAAGCGGCGCTTGATGTACTTAGGTGGTTAAAGCAGATCCGGATGGTGGCAAGAGCCAGTTCCCCCTCCCGGTTAGAGAGGATTAGGGGGTCCCCTAACACGGAAGGCGCAACACTGTCGCGACTTGAAAGTGCACAACAAGGGAGCTAATGCCTTTGCATGAGCGCTGCAACCGCTGCCATTCTTATCAATCAGCGAGCGGCATTTACGTGGGTGTTTACTACGTCCCTGCATAATGCATGGCGTCCACTCGAGAAGCACCGGCCCCTTCACTTACTTTCAGTAACCTAGAAGACTTTCATTGCCTCTCATGCATTCCCTTCCCAATAGGCCCAGTATGCACGGTTCGTTTGCCAGCCAAAAATGTCGATCAATCGGCATCTGCATAATCCTAAGGACACCAATATAAGCACCCTACGTAATTGATGGCTTCATACGACTCTTTGGAATTCACACAGCATTTACCCCTTCATGAGATTCCAGCCTTCTTGGCTGAAAGCCAGATTCGTGGTGATGAGTGAAGTGCGAGGCGCCCCGGTGAGCAGCAAGAAAAGCCATTATTCGCTTAACTGGTAGGCAATCGAATCGCTTCAACATTAATCACCAGATGAGAACGCTTGTAAGTTGTGATAACCAACTGCCGCTTAAATGCATTGCATTTTTCACCATTGTTGAGTTGTAGCCAAATGGACAACTTGAGGAACAATCGAGAAAGCGAACCGCTTCAAATTTTGACCAAAATTAGACTTGAGATATCAGTCTATGTGACTTTATGATAGTGCTGATGCTCTTCTACTGTGTCACGGAGCATTTACAGTTGGCGATTTTTGTGCGATTAGGCGATTAGGCGATGATTCAAAAAGAAAAGTATGCGTATCGATTAGGCGATTAGGCGAGTAGGCGAGTAGGCGACAAGGGAAGGATACGTATTGATTTGTTGCTCCGCCCATTGAGCGATCGCCTAATCGCCTAATCGCCTATACGTATATTTTCGTATAGGACAATCACCTAATCACGTATACAATCACCTGCTCTGAAGATCCATTAGACACCCTTTTTGCACCTGCGCATCCGCTCCTTTGATGTAAACCTTCTGAATAGGGGAGCGCAGGGGGAAAGGACCGAAGCATATGATGAAAATGGTAGTCGAATGGTTGCCGGGGGAAACGCTGTTGAAAAAAACAAAATAAGCAATAGAATACGCAAACCATTTCAGGCCGACCTTATAGCCCATGATGACATTCCCTACGTGTGCCCAGACAGCGACGACTGCTACAAACCATTCAAGAAACTCGACCGTTTTCTTACTACTCAACGGTAAGCCGCTTCACTGAATGAAACCTTCAAACGTTGACAGACCTGAGTACTTGAAGAAGATCTGTGGGATGAGCCACGCATTCCGAATTCCATTTAAAAACATAGGCATCCCAGAGTAATTAAATATGTAGTCCCAGCTGTGACTAGAAGTTATCAGGTAAGGTGTGGTATATCCTAAACAGCGCTATATCCTATACAGCTACGTATATTACTAATTAGTCGTCATCGGAAAGTGAAAAGACCTAACGGGCTGCATCATGTTCGATCCACAAACCATAAAGTGTGATAACGGCGCCTCCAGCCTTCATACTACCATCTTTCTTGACTAATCCCTATCCTTACAGAACGGAAAACATCTCAACGACCGATCTTATCCAAAGAATTGTCGATCAATGTGACTTGTTCCGTGAGCGGAACATCAAACGAGAGCGATATGGATAGGTTACCGAAACAATTATGTAGCTGAAGGTTTAATTTTCATTTGTGATACCATAAAGGCCTTTTAATATGTATTGATCGATAGCAGTTACTGTGATACTTCTCTTTATAAATGTGTTCATTAATAAAGTTTTGATTATACATGAAGTTCTTTCATGATACCGAGGTTACGTTAATATTCCGCTAGTAGGCGCTACTTGAAAAGCACCGCCAGAAGCCAAAGAAGCACGATTCTGAACTCCCAATGTAATTCAATTCAGCTCTTCTAAATAGCCTACACGTAAAATAACCCCTAAAGCCCGTCACATGAGGCTAATAAATACCTAAGACATCCAAACATATTTAGAGCCAGCATTTGCGTAACTAGCACACAACAGAACAAAGTACCATGGGCGCCAAAAAAATGAAAACGAAATCAAAATTGAAAAATAATAAAATGAAATTTTCCATTCAAAAATCTGCTCCCTGACCGCATCCATATTCATAAATGACGAAAAAACATTACTGTTAACGTTTGATTTTATGGAGACAAAACATTCGCAAGGCGAACTGCGGCCAAAAACAGCAGTTAACAAACAAAAACAAGTCAAAAATTACTGTCAACACTGGTCATCCCCTCCAATTGAGTAATTACAGTTCGGCTTCCTCCGAAGAATCTTGGCGGTACCGTAACTGGAGACAGAGTGCGCTATGTTTCTCGAAAGTTTCACTAAATGATCACTATGCAATGAAGTTCCCCATACCCTTCCACCCTGCCAGGAAGTATACTTGAACTTTCTCAAAAAAAAACCTTCGAGCGACATGAAATGTCCATCGGGCGGGATATGTCGCAAACTGAAGCAATAAAAATTCCAGTTCCGTGAATTCAGTAAACATTCGTGGAAGTTTCACGAGTTTACTGAATACAAAAGTTCGTCTT